TGACTGTAAAAGGATGTTGGGTAAAGAATTGGTTTGTAACACCCAAATGCCTTAACCGATTTTAATGAAATTTTGCATAGAAGTTCTTGAACACATTATCCAAGCCAAGCCAATTTGTTTATCAGCCAACTCAATTCATTGTTCGAGTAGATTCTCTTAAGTCACCTTCTTCAATTTCTTATCTCGACTTACTCCCATAATTCAACTCTGTCGGTGTTTAAAATAAATGCTCTCCAAACGGTTATTTTCAACTCTCATCTGAGTTAAGCCAACTAACTCTGTTTGAGTGGATATTCCACTGATTGGCGGTTGTGATTCCACCCGCGTCCCAACCTAAACAATGAGTTACATCCTGAGGGGCGACCTTGTGACCCATCTACTGATAATGATATCATGGAGCAACCAAGGTCACCGCATGAGCCGGAGCTGTGATTTGTCAATGTGGTACTTAGACATAGATTGAGGAAAGATCTATGGATTTTGGATAAAACATCCCATCTGTATGGACCAGCTGTACCAAGTTTCATCAAACGAGAACATTTAGTAGAATGAGCTGCTGTGTTAAATCATTTTTAACCAGTCTTTCGACTGAGATAGTTGATGTTACACAAATTCCTGTAGTTTACAAAAATTTGTTCTTTCAGTCTGGGTTGGTTTAGAAGTTGGCGTATTTGACAGAAATCATTCATTTATATCAGCAAACCCTGACTACGAACATTGTAAAATGTTATTCCAAAACTAGTCACAACTTAAAAATGGGAATGGAATGACTAGTTCTTATAGTTTGTAGTAAAGCTACATGGTCACAATGCCTGTATTACTAAGTCGGGAGAAGTCAGCTGGGGAAGTGATAATATTGGTAATAGCCTACTGTTATTAGGCATTCTGTACAAAAAAAGTATTTTAAATTTTACATAGTATTGATGTCATTGATTGGCTGGGTAGCCATGCGGCTATAGTCCTCGCTTTTAAATTTGAAGGTTGTTAGTTTGATAAATACCCCCGCCGCATCAAACCTGCAGACTAAGCGAATTGCCATCTACCTGACTAGAATTCCACTAAATTATGTCCTTAAAATTGTAATATTTATTTCCTATTTCAATATAATTAATTTTAATGAGTACTTAGGTTTGCTGCCACAGTGAAGAAAATAGGGGGTTATTTGTTGAAATATTTATAGCTTAGTATAAAGTAAACAAAATTTTAAAATCCCATTAAAACATGTCTACAGACAAGCAATCTACAACAGTTTATTTATTCTCCATAAAAATAACATGGTAATTTTAAATTTAACCTTTTTTGTTTTTTCTGTAACCGTTAGGCATACAACAATGCTTCAATATACTGAATAATTTCTTTTTTGAGCTCTACATAAAGGTTTAAAAAGAAATTGCAATTTTTTTTGTTTTCAAGGTGAAAAATGAGAAACCCCCATTTTCACCCTATAAAACCCCCCATAAACCCCTGTTCCCATAGTCCGCTGATTCGCAAACTCTTTCGAATGAATATAGGTTTACACTTTTATACCAAATTTCATCAAAATCGGATCATTTTTGCTCGAGTTATCGTGATAATGGACACATATAATATATATATATATATATGAATTTGAACGGATGGCGTTTTTGGCCTCTGGGGACCTCAAACTAAAAAGTAAATCGGTCCCGGGTCCAGGTCTTACCATGAGACCTACGGTAATAGCTTATCCCTTATATAGGAAATTCGCTAAAAAAACACAATTGGTTCTGAACCCATATTCCGCTTGTCACCCTCATTATCATGACACCAACATTTTGTCCTTTGTTTATATTTTGACAGTAAAATGTTTTCATTAACATTTGTCATCTGATAATCTAATTATCTAAGCGTCAGAGCTTAGACCGTTCTTTTACATGAAGAGTTAGTAATGGGGAAAATTCACTTTTAAAAGTAAATGGATAAACATATATGTTCCCCAAATTGGCCGAATCAGTCAGATGAACCAAGTTTGTGGAGAAATGTCAAACAAAACTATAAAAACTTTAAATAAACTATCCCAAACATTATTGATTGCAATCACGAACAAATGATGGTTTATTTTAAAGTTCTAACAAGTTTAACGCACTTGACCTATCCTACGCATTCAAGCGGACCAGCTTGCACATTTTAAGAACCCTTAAGGGCGAAGATTAAGAGTCGACTTGAATCTTAAGTGAAGATGGGACGCCACTTTTGGGGAATATATTGTGTAGTGGTGATTTACCATATATATTGTGTATTATTATAGTGAAAATAATATTAATTATAATTATATTATAGTGAAATATATTTCAGTGAATATAAGATACTGTTAGTTAATCGGAGATTCATGTATAACTTTGGACCCTCTTCTAATTTATTTGTTATCGCGATCGGGATAAATTTACCAAGATAACGTATTATTAAAGCATACACTCGTTTTATTATGTATAGTATTATTGAAATGAGAAAACATTACAATAAATGTACAACTAGTGTGTGTGTGTGTGTGTGTGTTGGGGGTGTGGGTTTCAGAGGGGGGGGGGGTTGAATGAGGGATATTATCTTTCCTGGCAAACAAAAAACTATTTGACCTGATTTACTTTTTGATTTCTTATATCTGTTAAATTTCCTTACATTTACGAGTACTGTATTTGTAAATAAAATAACTTTTTATTTTATTCAGTGCTGGACCAGATTAGCTGAATATTTTCACGAAATTGTTTAACCCAGGATTGCTATAACCCTATTCCGGTTTTCACAGGGAACTAGGACTGCGTCAGATGCTTTTTAAGTTTGTATGGAGAACTTTATAAACTTTGTAAAGAACTTTGTAAAGTAAATAACGATTGTAATTAATTGTAAAAATATTATAACTTCAGTGCTCTTTAATTCAAGTTTTCTTTAACTTTCTCAAATCACATAATGTAAACAGCTTATTCAAAAAAAATTATATTTTTTTCGTAAACCATGTGTGTATTTATACCTTAGAGATGACATTTAGCAGGCACTACATGTTCTATCCCAGAATAGTATGTTCATACAACAGGAATAGCTTTTCTAATATATTCATACCTTGATACAAAGCGCTTGTAAAGTTTTAGTACTCCTATGAAGTTTTCAGTGTTATAAATCCGATATATTTATACTTAACACAAACTACTAAAAGTTTCAAACTATTCCGTTCAACAATATTTTATAATCTTGTAAATACTTTGGTAAATCAAAGCTCAACATTCAGAACATTTTACAGAAAATATAAACGAGAGATGAAAAGCACAGAATCTAACAGCTGATTATTGTGCAACAGAGTATAATGCAATTACCCTTATCATTGCACTCCATTTGTCCCTAATGAACAGAAAACGCCCTACTGTTGAGGGTAAAATATGCGAACTTTGTAAATAAACACTTATATTTGGAACTGGTATGTTTATTATATGAAGTAGAAACAAATCTCAATTATATACAGGGTGTTCAAAAAAGGTGGGGACATATTTTACCTAGTGATTCTTTAGGTAAAAATAAAGAGAAAATCAACAGTAAAAATCTGTCCAAAATCGTTTGGTTAACCAGATATCAGTTATTTTGTATTTTTTACATAAACATTTTTATCTTTAAATATTTTTAATCTATCTTTATGAAACTTGGTATGTATGTTAAGGTAAAAGAGACCCATGTTAAAAAATAAGTTCATCTCAATTCAACCTAAATTTTCAAAATGGCGGCCATTTAACATTTTTAAACTTAAATTACTCGAAAATAGCTGGTTTTATGAAAAAATACCATGAATGATTTTATTTATCATTTTTAATTATCTATCAAACGATATCAAGTTAAAACAGATCGAATAAGAAATAGCTGGAATATTACGATATTTAGTTCCAAAATGGGGATAAGGCAAAAGCTAGTCAGGTTTGCCCCTTTTAATTATCGAAGCGATTAAAAAAAAAAATTATTCTTGATTTTCTCTTTATTTTGACCCAAGGAATCACTAGGTAAAATATGTCCCCACCTTTTTTGAACACCCTGTATAAACAAATGAAAAAAATGTGAATATAATTCAATTACAATACAAAACGTTCTATATAGTTTTATGACTGAAAATACTAGTTTGTTTGTTTATTGGTCAAGCTTTTTGTAAACTACTGTACCTACAGATTTTAGAGTAATTACAACTTTTAACAATGATTATGCAACCATGAATGTTATAAGCCTATCAGTGATTCTATAGTTATGTATTGGGCCCTACTAGAAGAGTATACTTGTATTAAGCCAAATTGAGAATTTGTTATTGACGTAGGCCTATCATATAAAAGTATCTATGGCAACGGTATAGTAAAATGTTACATTGATTATTTTTTTCAGATTAAAAAAAAATCCATTTATGACGTTAGTTCTGAAATGTTTATTATTATTTTTTTTGTTTTTGCAATAAATTTAGTTAGGTCCACAATGCTATTTCGTTTGTTCATCTAAGGGAAATTTTATATTTTATGAACAATATAATGGTAACTGCAATTTCTGTTATTTTCTACTAAGACGTTAAAAAATGTTCTTTTCTCAACCCGTCCCAATTTTAAGCAAGTGCAAATAAAAAAAATCGATTATCTTAGTGTCTAATTAAATTAACTTGTCTAGTAACATCATTTGAGACAAGATATTCATCACTTATAAAATAAAATATTGTAATTTGAGGAAACTACGATTATTCTGCTAATGATATAGATAAAATGAGTACCAAGCAACTAAATTAACTTACTGATAAATGTTCTTTAAAAACCATTTAATATAGTACCGTAGACGCAAGCAAAGTTTTGTATAATATTACTGTATACAACACCACAATTTATAGAAAAAATGGTTGTCTATAACCTGTAAAACATAAACAAACATAAAACCTCTATATGCTAAAGAGCCTACAAATATTTAATTCATTTTTTCACTACAACCACAGTACAAAATAACCAGTTTTATTTAACACAATTTAAAATATTACTTACTTTTAAATAATGCTATGTAGAATATAAAAACACAAAGATAATTTTTAACCGAACTGTACACGTAAGTATCTAAACTGTACTGAGTCATATAGACCCTGTGATAACAAAAGGTCGTGCAGTGACCTTGAAACCACCTGTATGATAACAGCTGCAAGCCGCCGCCATGTTGAATAATATGTGAAATGTTTACGTAAATTGAATCAAGGACTGTTTTGGTGAATAATAAGTTATTATTTGTAAAATCCTTAAGGATACAAATACAGATTGTACTGTACATTGTAAAGAACTGTGGCATTTTTGTGTGTTCTGGCAATGTTATAAGGAACATATCCTGATAAAGCTGAAACAAGCTCTAAATTTCTGTTTGTGTGTCTGTCAGTGCCCCCCAATTAGGCGATTTACACTACTAACTTTCCCAAGTAAATCAGAGTTTCAAATAACGTGAAACATGGTTTTCTTCACTAAATTTTTGAACAGTAAGCTATGTTAACTAGCCTAAATAATTTGTAAATATATTATGTACGTTCAAAACCCCAGTTTTACACTTCATTAGACACATTATTTTCTACGATTAACAGCATAATATCAACTGTAAACTGTAAATTACATATTTACGTGATAAGCTGTTTACAGTATAAGGCTCGTTGGTATTACGACCAATATTTATAATAATCGGATTGGTTATGTTGGTAAACACAAAATTGTGTATCTAACGGTTTTAAAATATAAATTAATAATTTTTTACTTTAATGGAGTACTTGTGATTCGCAACGGAATTAGGACCTTAAAAAGAATATATGGTTCCTAAACATATTTTGTAGAAATTAGCCAAACACTCCTTAAACACACCTTATTCATAATATAATTGTTTTACAAGGCTATTTAGTTTTATAACGTTTTTCAATTATTTAAAACATTATCTTCTGCATACGTAAAAAACAGTGACAGGCCCATCATTGATTATGAAATCGTTAAGAGCTGTGTACCTAGCTTGTATTAAAATTATCTCTGATTTAATTCAAGTAGTATGGATAGTAACTTAATAAATAACGAAAACTAAACTAATAAATTAATAACCTGACCAAAATGCAAATACTGTTAATAATTATAGGTTGCACACATCCATATGGAACTTCCACATTTATGACTTTAAAATATCTGGTAAACACAAAGATAGGTTTTTGTAGGCAGCTACTAGAAATTTACAGAAACCACAAATCCTTTTACTCACACAATGAAAAACCGTCACAGCTTTTTATAATGGTATTAATGCAATAATCTAAATGACCAGATAACATTTATCTAATTATTGTTGACAGTAGTAACGCTGAATCTGCTGTTTTTAAGATTTACTGCAAACGGAAATCCATATTAATTGTTCTTTTAACTCGAAATATGCAGATAGCTGAAATTTGTTGCAGGACTTTTGAGTCAATTTAAATTTATGCTTTGGTTTTGTATTGCACATTCTTGAGGAAATTAATAAATATACTGATGTATTAAACTTGTAGTAAAAATGTTAAATGTTCAAATGTAATTTTGTGAATTTACATGCTAAAATTGCTCCAATTAAACATATAAACTACCTCACCGGGTGTGAAGGGTTATAACAGTAGATTGGAAAATCAATAATGTTTCTCATTTTTCAGGATCTCCTAGATTTATATTTTATACTCTGCAAATACTACAATTCCCTCTCACGACTCTTTTCCCTATCTTTCATACAATCACCTTAAATATTTAAATATTTTACCTTCATTTTTACCTTAAATATTGTTCCTGTGAATTGATCAATTATTCTACATCCACTGAAATACTGAAAAGTTGGGATGTTTTGCTTTTTGAAATTGAAGCAAAACATTTGAAATTGAAATTTGAAATTCAAGTTTATAAGTAATATTGTTTGTCAAATCTAATAGTTTCATCTGCCAAACCAGCATTGAAATTGTTAATAAATGGAAGATTAGAGTAGATGATGCTGGTAAATTAATCCACTACATCCGAGGTTTTATGAGTCCTAATTTATACGTCTAGTAAAATTGATACGGTTACTCATAACATTAAATTCGTCATTGGACAAGAATGATGATATTTAAAGACGATCCGAAATGATTCAATTTTGATGACATTTGGTAAGACCGTGTATTTGACCGTATTATTGACGTTCATTTGAACGACTTAAAACCAACATAATCGGACTTTGAGAACAGGGTGGGATGTGGGTAAGAATTGGGTTTTCTATTTTCAACCCTCAAATAAAAAAATAATACTTTTAGAGCTTAAAAACAAGTACTGTTGTAATTAGGTATATTGAAGCGTCATTGTACGCCTAATAGGCATGGGGGAAATAACAAAAAAACTGTAAATATAAATTGTTATGTTATTATTAAGAATAAATAAACTGTTGTGTTGTGCCTATTTTTAGGGATACATTATGATCGAATTTGTTTATTTCAAACTAAGCTATAACATGTCAATAAAAACACATTTTACTACCCTCCCTACAGCAGACCTAAGTACTCGATATTTTAAAAATAGAATAAATATGACAATTTTATGTGAATATTTCAATGAAGATCTAACCAGGTAAATGGAAATTCACTTAGTCTGTAGGTTTGCTGCGGCATGGGTATTATTATAATAATTTGTTGGTGATCTATGAAGCTTTACTTCAGTATAAATACATGAACGAGTCACAAACATCCATGCTGTTGGTTAATCGTCTATCTTTATAGTACAAAACACAATAGGAAGGTTTTCTGCATATTTCAAAGCAACAAAGAAAGTTTGGCTATTCACCCCATGCCAAAACCAGATTTCTCTTTATTCCCATCGTTCATCCTATTTAATTTAAAATTATTATAGTTTCTTTACCAGTTCAAGACGGGATTAGACAAATAATATGGATATCCAAACAGTTGCACACTTACTATCGATTATTATAAAAAAAACTCAATTTTGCTATTTAGTCCAAAGAATTTTATGGTCATGAAAAAATTATAATAACTTCTCAAATACAATGAATTCCTCTCAATATCTTTGCTTTATCATTCTACCCGAATAATTATTGGTTATATTTTATTGTTATTTTGTATTATTTTTGAAAACTCCCCATCTAATCTCTTATACGATCTATTTTAATCATCTATTTTACTGATAGTATTTTATTTTTTATTTTATTATAGGCTAAGTTAAGATTTCAAAATTATTTTTTTAGTTTTTAAGATTTTAGGGTTAGTGTCAAATTGTATTCCATGCAATAAATTAATTAACACTTGAGTTTTGAAACAATGACACTTTGCGCGTAATATACAATACAATTACTTATAACGCTCAATTTAATAAAATAAAGAAACTAATAAGGAAATTTAGTTTACCTTATTTGTTTGTATAATAGGCCTACTGAGTAACATCTTTACAATCACAGTTTTAAAGGTTAAATATTTTAAAAGTTAAAAAAAGATGTTACAATTATATGCTAATATAAAAAGTGGCACCAACTTGATGTATTCTAAAAAAAAATATTGGGAGTTCGTTGTTTTTGAATTATCTCTTTTGTTAACACCAAACAAATTTACAATAGTTGAAGGATTAATAGAAAACTTAAAATACAATAACAGACCACTTGATCATAAACCACCTCAATATTTTAGAACTAAAATGTTTATCTCTTCATCAAATTTGTTTCTAATCAAAAGAACAAAATCTTACTTTGAACATTTTTTAATTACCTAAAGGAAGGGTATAAAAACATTGTACTATAAATGACGTACAATCTTGGGAAAGCAAAATTGGAAATCATTGGAGCGATTTTTGCTTAGAGGTAGAAAGACTTACGACAAAGACAAAGGACTACTTGTTCCATCGTAGGTTTTCTCAACATAACTCAGGTTTTATAAAGGTTATAAAGCAATGCAATAAACGGCCTGTACGTTTACGGCAATTAAAATACCATATGGCGCAACACCTTATGGGGTTTATGGTTATTGCAAACTTTAAATCACAATACCAATAGGTTGTTTATAGCTGTTAGTTCAATTTAACCGGAAATATATTGAGAACTGTGATCAGATATCCGATATATTTAATCACGATTATTACATACGTGCAATAATGCGGTTTTTAATTGTTGCGAAAATATGAAATTACTAGATGTCGTCCAGTGGTCGAAAACTCAACCAAAAATATGTAGACTTCTCTATTTCACCCCACGCTATAAATTAAATATGTGATTCAAATTTCATCCATTTGTTTTGATTTTCTGTTTATATTTCATTGTTAACAGTTCATAGTTTTTCAAAGTTTAAAATTCATTTTTGTGGTTATTTACTATAGCCTATTTTAATTTATGAAGGGGCTCACAGGAAAATATCCTACAGAATGTGTAGATATGCAGTATGTCTTCCCTACGATGCACACGAGCTGATGATAAATTGTTTAAATAAACATGCTTGACTAGGATATTCTATAACATCCATCTATCTTCATCTTATATTTATAAACATAATAAAATAAGGTTATTAAGTAATGATTACTAACAATACCTCACACATTTTCCGACCTTGGCTTCGCCTCGATCGTAAAACTTGAGCCTGGGTCCAAAAATGTCACTTTAGACCCTTATTGCCAAGAAATATAATTTTCATACTGTAGTCTCGCTTTTTACCTGTTATACTTATGTATATGTTCAATCTATATAAATAAAATTAGAGTTTTGTCTGTACATTGCTTAGAATAATAAACTTTTTGGTTATTTTTACATTTCATAGGTCAGAGAAACCGAATCAAACCTTATCTCAATTTCTGTCTGTCTGTCTGTCTGTCTGTCTGTCTGTCTATCTGTCATTCTCTTGGTAACGCTAAAATACGCACTTTATTACAACTACTCCTCAATAACTATAGCACTGTCCCGCCTGAAACTTATTTTCCAAATACTATACATATATGAGATGGTTTTAGACGTATTTCATCGAATATGAGACAGTTAGATATTTAACAGTAAACCCTTGAAAATCAAGTTTTTGTCGATTTTTGACGTGGAATTTCTGGAAGCCCATGTT